GGGAAAATTCTCCTTGAGATTTTGAAAATGACACGGCGCTAGTAGTATAATTTTACATCTTACTGGCTTTTGGCACATTTGACCTCGGTAGATAAGTAAAACTTGTATACATTCTCCCTATTTGTATGAAGGAAAAAGTTTATATAAAGTGTCAAATTTGATCAATAACCCAAAATTATGCGCATAATTTTAACTTTTTTACCGATTTGTGCTCATAGTTCATGGAGTCGAAATTTCGTGAAAGGGTGATGAGAAGTTGTCCATGATGGAGATTCGGGATGTTTGATTGCAAGAAGTTTGGAACTCCCGAAAGATCCAAGAGTAATCCTTTTCCTTTTCTGCATCAAAAGAATAAGGAAGAGGTAAAAAAAGTCATCCCCTTTTTCTCTCATTTTCCTTTTAGTCTCTCTTGTACCTATAATTCGGGAAGAATCGGATCCCAATACAAGATATAAAACAGTAGAGTAAACCTTAAAAGAAAGGGACGGTTCTCCATGATCTGTATTCCTCCTCTTCAATATCAAAATTCGGAAGAATCGGATCCCAATACACTAGGAAGAGTAAATTTTACAAGAAAGGGACGTTTCTATATATTCTATGTTCCCCACTTCAGTTGCAATTGCCATGAGTATGTTTACTTTGTGAAATAATATGAGTTGATGAGTTAGTGCCAAGAGTTAGCAGAGATAATGGTTTAAGAATCTGGATTAGGGATAACTCGAATTGGATCCAGTAATCTTAATTAAAAAGGAAGGGTGGGGTTCTAAACAATCAAATGAAGGCACACATCAAAAATTCATTAGAAGTGGTTGTTTTGAAGCCCAAAAATTGGAGCATCTTGTAAGAGGTTGACCTCAAGATGTATGGACATGAGAAAAAATGGATTTTAAGTATTGGAATTGGTGTATCTTGTAATTCATCTTTTGGATCGTTAATTTTCAAGATTTTCAAGTGTTCATAGATCTGCTTGATGTATATTATTTTTAAAGTTTTAAATTTTATAATTAGATATGAAAATAGATATTCAAGCCATCCCAAAGATTTTTAGTATTGAAACAACATATTTCAACACTATTTGAATTTGTACCTTATTTTGATTGTTCAGGGTGTTAGTCTCAATCAATGGTTTAAAAAGCGGATCGGGCACCTCAAAAACCGATTCGGATCGGTGAATCGAAGATCCGGATCGGGAATCGGCTGAATCGATCGGATTAAAGCTTCAAAAAAATCCGATTTTTTTTTTAAAATTCATTATAAATGTTGTTTTTTAGGAATCCAATAAGAAATGAAAGTACTACATTAGTAACTTTCATTTTTTTCATCAATTTGTGAATATTGAGATGCTCTTTCCATGTATAAACTTAAGTATTAAATTTGTATCACATAAAAAAAAAATCATAGCATTATCATGGATAAAATATATAATTATACATGGACTATAATAAAGAGTAGACTAAATCAATAAAAGAATGGCCATTAAAATCTCGTGTTGGCGATAAACCCTAATCCGCTAAAAAAACCCAAATTATTACAACCTAACTAACTATAACTCAAAATTATTACAACCTAACTAATTATAATATTATATACTGAAATTATAATTATTAGTTTACATTTTATATTTATTTTATTAGATAAATAATAACAAATTAAAAATATTTTATAATATTATCTAATTTAAAATATATTATTGACAACTGTAAGAAGAATAGTACATTACATGATTTATAATGCAAAAATTAATAAATAAAATAAAAGATTTGGTTATCAATGTAAAAATTAATAAAATGCTTACAAATTTTGGAAAAAATACTTTAATTTATTATATGCCCAAGGAGAAATAAAAATTAGCTCAAGAAATGATTACTATTATATGGCCCAAGAGGGGATTCGAATTTGAGATGTCAAAGCAAATAATATTAGTAATAACCATGTCGATTCCTGAGTCTGGTTCGACTTGACGATTTTTTAAACACTGATTTTACGTGAATAGGAAGGAGAGAGGTGGCTAATGAGTATTGGGTGTGAAAGTGAAGTAAAAGAAACGAAAGCCATGAGGCATTTATTTGAGCGAGGAGAGTTGGACGAAAACGGAAGTTAACGAAATCTTAACACGAAAAGAAAGAACGAAAAAGGGGAAACGGTGTGTTTCTTTTGTGGGTTTTATTTAGTGGGTTCGAGTGAGAGAAAGGAACAAGGGAATGGGAGAATGAGAGGGATAGCCGTGCGTCGTGAGAGAGATAGAGGGGGAAGGCGAAAGTAGGCCGCAAAGGAAGAGGATGGGGAAGCAGTGTGAGTAGGCCGTGAGTTGTAGGTGAAGGGGCAGCAGCGCGAGACGGTTGTGGTTGCAAGTTAGCAGAGATGGAGCAAGGATGGAGGCCACGAGATCAGGTGCAGGGAAATGAGGAGGAGTAGGAGGATGGACTCAGCAGGCGGAGGATGGAAGAGAACGGCGGAAGCCGAAAAGAATGAGTAAGGCGGAAGTTGCAGGTTGGAGTAAAGGGGTGAGATTGGGAGAGGCAGAGGTTGGTCGTGACTGTAATTTGTGATGGCGGAGGAAGGTCGTGGCTGCAATTCGTGATGGCGGAGGAAGATCATGGCTGCAATTTGTTGCCTCCTGGTTGCAGGAAGTTAGAGAAAGAAAGAAGCAGAGTGGATGGGAATCGCAGAGATTTTTGAGAGAGGGAGCAGCAAGCTAGAACCGGCTAGAACCAGTTTGGGAACCGTTAGAACCGGGTGGGAACCGGCTGTTCTGCTCTAGAACCGGGCGGTTATCGGTTTTGTGCCGGAACCGACACGGCATGTGCCAATTCCCGAGTCGAACCCGACTAGTCCGGTTCAACTCGGCGTTTTTTTAAACACTGGTCTCAATCAAAAAATATAAATAAATATATAAACAATCAAACAATTTACTTGGATCTGTCCTTAAATCACACGAGGGACTTAATATTTTACACCAAAACCTATAGACCAAGCCATCTGGGTGAAATGTTACCTTGAAAGTTATCTTTGGTGAATCTCTTTCACCTATTTTACCTCCTCTCTTCTTTTACTTGAGGGGTTAACCTCTTAACCTTTTTTTATGGAGAATCATCTTTTGTAATTATCATATTTATGGTCTATAGGAGTTGAGATCTAAATATAACTTCTACCTTAATTTCCTTGAGTGCAGCCAATTAGGATTAACAAGTTGTCACTAAATTGTTAATCCTATATAATGAGTTAAATATGTCATTAGTGCACTAATGACTCATATAATAGGATGTCATCCAAACATTCATACAATTTGATAAAAGATATTTAGAAATTAAATATTTTTGTACATCTATAATATAGAAAAAAAACAATTCTTACAAAGAATCCAAACACATTACTAGGTTTTCCCTCTGTTGACACTGGGTTTTCCCTTCAGTGCAACATCCTAGAAAAGCTCCAAAATGGATCCTAGTATATGCCATTGCCTCATGTCAACCATATGTGATTTTATATATGCTATACAGTATGACTTTTGTACCATTATCAAAAAATAAATTTCGGGTATAAAAGGGCCTGATAGGCCATATTTCCAACATAGGACCTCAACCTTATACGAACCACATTCAATAATAATCCATACCTAGAAATTTAGAAACTTTTGTCTTGGTTGTGAGTTTATCATTTACTAGACTCAAAGTTCAATACAATTTTTTTTAACTATGTGACAGTTCGACATCTAATGACTAGCAGCAATTGTAACTTCATGTAAATCATTCGTACGGTTTTTAATTGTAGGTTGACATTATATTTTGCTCTTAGGTAACCAAGATCCCTAGCAAATTTGGCAACAAAAATATAACCACTTTAAATAACCCAAAATAAAATCTAAGAAAATTATATCCAAGCATTATTTTTCTATAACAACTTAGGTAATTATTTATCTAATTAAATTCTTTAAATATTTATTGTAAAGGAAGGTTTATAATGAGACCATTTTTTAAAGGGAAAAGTTTATATAAAGTTACAACCTTAAAATGTAGAATTACAGATGCACTTGAAAAATCTGTCGGAAATGTTGTTTTAGTGTTGAAAAGCCCTCTAATTGATCATCTCGACATCTAGATATATGAATATTAAAAAAAAAAAGTTTTTGAGTCCCAGAAATAGTGCATCTTGCAACACATTATCTAGACCATCCATTTTCAAGATTTTCATATATTTATAGATCTACTTGATATTAACTATTTTTGGAGTTTAAAATTTTATAATTAGATATTAAAATAGATTTTAAGATAATCCTAAGAAATTTTTACAACAAAATTATATGTTATGATAAAATTTGGAAGTGCGCCATAATTGGATTGTTTAAGGTTGCAACCTTATAGAAACCGCACCTTTTTTTAAATATAGTTTCTATGCGGCTTGCCCACATATTGTATAAATACTAGCTTGGTAATAAATATATTTTTTAAATATAATTTGATCTTAATTTTGAGAAAACTTGCAATCTTTAACATAGAGATCATGATTACGATATTTTTTTTTTTGAAAAATAGAAATAATAATTATGTTAAAAAAAAAATTGGATCATTAGTTCCACGTGTTTTTAGATGGACCATTGATTTGCATCCATCTTTAAGATGGATGCTTTATACCTTTGGATTGCATATTGTAGAAATGTAGTATGGCCCGTATAAAGCAATTGCCTTTATTTCATTGACCGAGCTCAAAGTTCAACAAATTTTTTTCAAACATTGGGATACACCCAAGCTATCGAATGGTTACAAGTATTTGTAGCATAATGTATTAAAGGTAAATGGCCTCATTACATATAAGCCCTTAACTTAAATATTGGAGCCTAAGCATCATTATCAAGTCCGTACTGTCATTCGCTTAAAAGGGCATTTCAGGAAATAACACACAATTACACAAAGAGAACCAAAGGGTCCATTTGGCATTAGAAGAAAAGATGAAGACTAAATAGATATTGTCAGACAAATTGCTGGGGCATATCTGTAAGTATTGTCCTGAAACCATATCTAGATTCAAGAGCCAGGACACTCCCAGAAGCGGAGAAAAAAAGTACAAAATAACTGTCCAAAAGATATATTCCATTTTTATAGTACCCAAAAAATTCATTTCTCTCTCTATATATTACATGGAAATCATAATTCCTATAATAGTGTCCTGTTTTCATTTCTCTGTATATATACATTTAAATCTAAATCTTCGTTCCTATAATAGTGTCCTGTTTTCTCTGAGCGTTTTTAGGTTTTTTCCTGCATTTTTATGAAGTGGAAATCTCCATTCCAATAATAGTGTCTTGTTTTCTCTGAGTTTTTTCCTCCATTTTTATAGTTTCAGAAAGCTTTAATGGCTATAGATATGGACAAGGATTTTTGAAGCTTCGTCGAGGTGCCTATTTTTTTAATAAAGAGGAGAGCGTTTTGATTCGATTGGGCTTGAAGTTGCAGAAGCTTTCTTGGAGCTTTAATGGCGGGAAACGACTGGATTAACAGTTATCTTGAGGCTATACTGGATGTTGGTACTCCATTGGATGATAAGAAGTCATCTTTGCTTCTCAGAGAGAGAGGGAGGTTCAGCCCGACGAGGTACTTTGTGGAGGAGGTTATTACAGGCTTTGATGAGACTGATCTTTATCGATCATGGATCAAGGTATCATGCTCACTCTCTCTCTCTCTGTAACTTCTATTTAAAATTTCACCTCTCTGTTTACGTACAATTTTCTCTTTCTGCCTCGTTTTGTAGTTTGTTTTGGACTTACTCTGATAATTTGATCTTTATTTTAACAAACGTGTGATGTTAAGGGCATGCATTCGTTTTTCTTTTTTCCCTTCTGGATTGTTTTTTTTTTTTTAGCGTTGTGTATATTATTTCAGAGGATCCTTTCTCCGGCTTTTATTTTATTTTATGAGACATTAAAATTCTTTTACGGAAGATTGTTTGGTTATTTGGTATTTGGATTTGAAAGGTAATGTAGTGGTCTAATGAAGGATCGATTTTTCAGACGTTTTACTGTGGTTTTTTTTAGCATCCGCGCCATGTTCCTTTTATCACGTTTTTTTTTTTTCAATAATTTCTGTCCTTCTGATGCTTGTTTTATTTCATACATATTCGGTAGTTTTTTTTTTCTTATTTTTTTTAATGTCATTCGGAATTTGTTATGTGGTTTACGTGTTACGCAATTGGATTTGCAGGCCTCTTCTACAAGGAGTCCACAGGAAAGGAATACTAGATTGGAGAACATGTGCTGGAGGATATGGAATTTGGCTCGCAAGAAGAAGCAGGTTATTCTGCTTTCTCACTCTTTCTCTTATCCTTCCGATTATCATTTTGAGATTTGAATCGGTTCTCTGACATATTTTACTCTTTCATTTATTGATACTACTTTACGTTTTTCTATCAATTTTTGAAGGGAAATGAAGAACTGCTAGGTTAAAAATGACTAAATTACTGAATATTAGTGTTATCAGAACTTGACCAAACTGGCATGTTGATGGATTGGACTCCAACCAGATCCCAAACTGGTTCTGTTCATTAAAAACGACAGGATTTTGAGAGAAACCAAAACTTTAATGTAATTTACGAACTTTTTTATATATTTTATGGTTCCGAACTGTTTTCGATTGGTTCAAGTGTTTCGATGGCCAGTCAAACTGCTAACTGTCCCGGACCTGCTGAACACTTTACTGGTTTGGTGACTGTTCTGGTTCTGATAAAATTGGATATGCTTTCTCTTTGTTCAAATGAGAAACATTTCTAACAAGTTAACCATTATTCCTGAAAAAAAATGCGAGAAATCTTTCTGTTTGTTTCCTGAAAAAAAAATGCGAGGAATCGTTCTGTTTTTATGACCTGAGTCTACCATTATCTTTTTTCTCAATTCTCTGATCATGGTCGGTTTTGATATTCTACATTGTGTTTCTTATACTGCCATTTGTGGCTTATGCATTTTTTGTGAAGTATCTTTTTCATATTTATACTTACCCAAAAAAAAAGAAAAATATTTTCATATTTATTTTCTGAAAAGAATTAAAATGAGATTTGCGAGAGTTTCATTAGCCATTCAAGTCTATTGCGGTTTGGATCTGAGGGGGAGCATTTGCATAGGAGCATGAATGGGGCGACACACCCTCTTCTATTAAAGCTATATTGAGAACAACATTTTCTTCTACTGAATTTATATTGAGAACAACATTTTTAGGAGGATGTTAAACACAATTTAGTCCATGACTATGGTAAATATGATAGGATGGCACTCTAGATGTCAATTTCTTTCTGGTTGCTTGATGTGGAACAAAATAATATGGGGTGAAAGTATGTCTGTTTGCATTGACACTAGCAATGAAGTAGACCTGGTAGTTTAGCGCATCCTGTCTACTCATCGTCAACATATGCCAGTGGCATATGTTGAGTTTTTTTCTTCTTTTTCTTTTGAAATAACACCAAATCGAGTAGAGTTAATGTCAGGAATACTTTTTTTTTTAAACCTGTCTGTGCTTGAAGATATTGAATTATCTATAAATTTCTTGCATATGGGTTTTCCACAAATGATCCATTTGTTGGCTGATAATGTGGCTTGCGCAATGTATATTATATCTAGTGATGGATTGGTTAAGTATTGCTTTAGTAGCCATGATACTTCGTCCATATGTCATTGTATATCCATCATGTTGGGGGAGAGAAGTAGCTATCTATTTGCCTATATTTGTCATGCACTATATTATTATAACTCTCCTGGAGGGGTTTTTTGCCATTTCAACTATTTGTTTATGTTTTTTATCATGCCAATTAATGTTGATTGCATTGCTTTTGCTATACACATAAACGTGGTAGTAGAGTTGATGACTCCTTTAAGAAGCCTAAATCCATTAGCTGTAGTATGTTGTTTCAACTTCCAAGTGAATGTATTCAAATCTTTTAATGCATTCTCAGATCCAACTCTGCATGATAGCAAACATTGAATGTATTCGAATCCTTTGATGCATTCCAGATCCAACTCTCCATGATAGCAAACATTTGAAAATGCACTTAACGTACACTTGATTAAGGTTGCGGCTCAGCAACGCAAACTATATTCATGTTCCCTAAGTTGTCATCAGCTGTAGTTCCTATTTAAGTTTATTTGTGATTTGATCCCTTGTTGGGCTGGGTTGGTCTCTTACTATGTGTCATTTGATGTAAAGTTTCTTTGTGCCTGCTCTGCCAGTTTTCCTGGACAATTAATTTTCCCTTGATGAAGCCTATGGATATTGCACCTCTATTTCTGTTGCCCTCCTCCTGTAGTGACTTCCTTCTGATGCCTGAATAGTCCATTGCAATGACACCAACACCAAGAACAAGAAACCAACACAAATAACACACACCCTTTCTCTTTGATCCTATCCAGATACACGATGCCCTTTATATTTTTGGCCAATCACTCGCCTGCCACCCCAGTTTTGTGTATGTTGAAAATGTAGTTTTAGCAGAGTACACCCTTTGCCCTGAACTTCCTATACATGTTTTACTCTCTCTTCCTATCATGCAAAAGTGGCATGTTAGGTAACTTCTGTCAAGTAATCCTAACTCATTGTTGTTCACTAGGAAGCCTTAAAGGAAGAAGTATAAATTCCATTAAAAGAGAATAATTCCTGAGCAACAAATTGATATTTGCAAACTCCCAAGAGCACTCTGTGGATTGAAGTTAGTGCCATGAACATAAGTTGATTGTTTTAGCATGGTCTATATTGTACAAAGACTCTTCTGTCTTAACAAGCTTGACTTAAAGAGTTATTACGAACTTACTGGGAGTGACTACTCTTCTCTAGTATACATATCAGACTATTTGATGTACTTAGACCAGAGAACAAACTCAGACTCCACGATCCAAGCTCATACTCTTTGAGACCCAATATTTTCCCTACAGAAACACAATCTCAATGACACTTCTCAAGGTGCCACCAACACTACTTTAGCCCCCCCCCTCCCCCCTTCCCCCCAACTAAAAAACCCAACCACAAATTAGACTAATCCCACAATGGTGATGGAAGTTTGATTTCCATGGTTGGGCTGGTTTTAAACTCAAAAAGAAAAAAATGAAAACGTTTTAAAGACAAGCTCAAAATTTAGAACCTCGCCCAGTTTGGTCTTTTGTCAGGGAAGAAGGAAGCCCTCCTCACCAAAATCATTAACTTTAATCTGCTATAAGAATCCCGTGAACTTACTCAAGCAGAAAGAACAAGGCAAATGTTGCCAAGACAGATCTCCAAAATGTTCTAAAGTAGGACGAAATCTTTTGGTTTCAGTGATCCAAGGTCAAGTGGCTCAAAGTAGGCAACTGGAACACTGCCTTCTTCCAAAAATGGCAAACTGCTGAAGAAGAAGAAACATGATCCATATCTTGAGGATCCATCTGAAATACAAGAAACCATAGCAAGCTCCTTCAAAAGATTGTTCATGGCAGACTCCTTGTGAAGCCCAAGATGCATGATTTAAACTTTAAAACGTATCAGAATAGTCAATGAGGTGGCATAAATAGCCCTTCTTGGAGACAAATGCCACAGGCTATTCCTGAACTTGGGCATGATATAGCACCCCTCAGACCGGATGACTTTCTATACCTTCAATTCTGGTACTGCTTGGCCTTAGATATTGGTCAGTTTGAAGAGTTTCATCAGCTGGGTGGTCACTCATAGGTCTATGAACTTGGCATTCATTCCCAATACGAAGCTGCAAAGCAACTGCGAGACTTCAGACCCATTAGCCTACTCAATTGTTCCTACCAATGTTCAAGAAGGTATAGGCGGCCCCTGGGGGGTTTGGGCTCTGGGCCGCCTAGGCGCTAAGGTGGGCCCCAGACCCACAAGCGGCCAGTGTTGCCCTTTTTTTTATAAGTTGGATCCCCCACACCTCCCCCCATTTTATTGTATATAGAATTGCCTCTTTTTTTTTAATTTAATAAATAAGTTTTGTATATGATATATTGTTAAAATGTCGGAAGCATAGATCAAACATAAACATTTACGACTTTAGACTGTAAATGAAATAATTATAACTCAAACGCAACATTAAAAGATAAAATTAACTCTAGATGTCCTTTAAATCTCATAAATCACAAGTCACAAAAGTTTCAAAAGTCATTAGAAAAAAGTCACATCCGACCGACAAAGGTCATAAACTACATAAAGTCTTCTTCACCCCACAAATATGAAGTACTCAATTATGCACTTGAGTTTCATCATCACTAGTAACATGAGGTCGACGTCTGGCATGCAGTCCACCTGAATCTGATGATGATCATCAGTGTCATCCTCCTCCTCCACATAGAAACCTTCTTCCCTTGTCTCCTATGAGTCTACATCATCCTCTTCCTCCAAGATCATCACCCTACTCGTTTGCGCCTTCTTCTTTCCTGGGCCACTTCCTTCCCCTTCCTCTGTGTTTGGGATCTAGTAGCTCTCATAGGGCTCGATGTGAAACCAGCCGCCTCTTGCACTTGGATCCATGTCAAGCCCTCTCTCTCGAATATAGGCTCATCCCCGGCATTGGGCTCGACAAACCACTTGCTTGTTGAATCTAAATCTTTTACAAGTCAATTTGAAACCGGTCTAGATGGTGCTCCTTTAGCCATTGATTGTACTGAATGAAATCAAGGTCGTTCAGTCTCTTCTGCTCAAGTTATTTCTCTTCTTTGTATGTACCTATTTCATAGTATTCCATTTCCATATTACTATTCTTTACTTTAAAAAAAGTATCGATAAAGTTATTGTCGTAATTTGATAGGAGATGAGGCTGAGGTTAGCTAAATACAATATTCACCATCTTGAAGGTGCTGAAGTTGCGCTCGCAGTTGGACAATGTATAAGTCAAGCGTTGCGCCATCTTTTGCAAGTTGGACAGTTTGTCGATGGTTGGCCCACCAAGAGGTTATAATACATTTAACAACAAAAATCAGTAGAGTACATATATCTATATAAATTTAGAATTGAGAAAATTTTTTTTTGAGAAAAATTTAGAATTAGAATTTAGAAAATTGAAATAACAAATACATTTTCATCTTACATGGATATATCTTTTTCCTTTGCCCTGATTGCGATGTCTGTCCCAAGTGTCCCCATTGAATAACGGTATAAGTCAAGTTCCATGAACACTTTGTCTTGGACATCTGAGTTACGGTGGAGCCTCACATTGCACTTGTTGAATGCAGCCATTATAGAATCCCTTCTCTCTATGTCAGGATCAGAGTAGAAATAAGCAAGGTTAAGAAAATACCCTGCTAAGTGTAGGGGTCTCTCCAGTGATTCAA